CTAAAATGTTATTGGTAACAGCCAGTTTCATTCTAGTAGTATGAATTAATTAAATATAAGTATTTTACATAAAAGATAACACAGAAAATAAGGTAATTATAAACATTTCTTAATGAAAAAAGTTCTGATCCTCAAACTTCACAGAAAAACCTGAACATTAGCTATACAGCAAAAGAGCTTCATCAGTCTGAATCATTTATTTAGTTTATTAATTTATTAAAGCCACATCGGCAGAAAAGGTAGCCTGGGAAAACCCAGACAACTTCCGCCAAATTTAGGTTTGCTCTGAAAGTTAGTCTGGCACAGAGCTCATTCAAGCCCATTTCCAATCCGCCGAAATCGCGGCACCAATCAGAAACGTTGGGGCGGCTTTACACGATGACGACAGCGCTGGGATTTTGAAGCAGATTTTGTAGCCTACATTACAGAGATGGATGCCGCCGTCGAACATCACTCGTTCCAATCAGCTATCGCGTCTGTTTTAAGCCATTTGAACGTTTCCTTTTAGTTAAAAACCGAGCAAAGAACAACACTCGGAGATGTGTCTCCGCCGCTCTGCATACGTCATCTCCTTCATCGCTCTGATTGGGTTTAGGTCTATCCGCGACTCCGTTGGTGACGCCCCTCTGGAAATGATTTGTCTATGACGCTTTGCCAGACCATAACTCAGTTACACCTGAGAATGCTCTGGTTTTAACCAGGCTACAGAAAAGGCTATTTTACATGGCAAACTATGAGTAAATTACACACACTGCTCGTTTAGAAAAGCTACAATTTCCACGAAGAAATCGTTTTAGAAATGTCCATTAATGAAGTTTCTGAATAAATGTGTTGCCTAAAATCATTTAAAGCAGGACGGTCCAATAAATCTGCTTTATCATCCAAACTGAACCATCATGTGATTCTGACTTCAGTGAGCGTTATTCTGTTCTGTTAAATGTTAAATAAGGCTCAAAACTGAAGTGTTTTAGTTTAAACCTGATCAATGTAAATGGATTCCTATAGTTTCTATATGTGACCCTGGACCACACAACCAGTCACATAGGTAAATTCTTTTAATTGAGATGTATACATCATCTAAAAGCTGAATAAGCTTTCCATTGATGTGTGGTTTGTTAGGATAGGACAATACTTGGCCGAGATACAACTATTGAAAATCTGGAATCTGAAAGTGCAAAAAAATCGAAACATTGAGAAAATCGCCTTTAAAGTTTCCATTTATGTTCATAAATGTGTTGCATTCTCTCACAAAAATAAATGTTTTATATATTTACGGTAGAAAATTTACAAAATATCTTAAAGGGGTCATATAATGCCATTTTTGTACAAGCTAATATGATTCTTTAGGGTCTAAATTAAAAGTTTGTAATATACTTTAATTAAAAATTCTCATTAGTATTGTAAGAAAACACTTATTTTACCTGGTCAAAAACAGCTCTGTTTTCAGCACGCCGTTTCAGTGCATATGACTTTAAATGATCATGAGCTTTGCTGACTCCGCCCCTCTGTTCTGTGCGTACACCGTTTGTAACACAATAACACAATAACCATAACGCATTGTTCAGTATAAACGTGGGATTATGAATTATATTGAGAACGTCGTAGAAAACATGCCGTAATGTACCCTGAGTGTAAACCTTAGACGCATTCATTGTGAAGCGTGCAGCTAGCGATTTACAAGGATTAATATAAATATTAATATAAAGTTTAATAAAACGTTACACTCATTTCAGTTCTTCTGGAGGTTCAACAGGAACACGAATAGTTGGTACCGATTCTTTTTTCAGGAGCAGCTTCTTAGCAAATCCAGCTTTATACTGACCCTCGTTTATAAAGCAGTCTGGTGTGTGAAATGATTCGCGCAAACATGAGAGCATTGACGTTGCTCGTGGGGAATATTCCCTTCGAAAACAAACTCAGCCACTGCGTCTTCAGCGGTTCGGATTTAGGAACATTAAAATGACTGTGTTCGTTATTACACCCAAGAACAGAACACCACAATCGCTTAGACGCCATTCTGCTCATAGACAGTGCTCCAGCATATCAACAATGACCGCGCCGGTCCGCGCAGACTATGATTGACAGCTGGCTCACGAGCGAGGGCGGGTCTGTGTTGAAACTGCCGTCAATCAACAATCGTGGGAGGGGTGTGCGAGCTCGTGACGTCACAGGCTCGAACGGCTCGATTTGAGGCAGGGGAAAACATATAAGGAGATTAAAACATAACCACTGGATGGATTTTTATCATTATATGATGGTTGTGTACAGACACTGCCAACACACATTTCAGTACAACAACTTGTAAAAGTGCATGTACCATTATATGACCCCTTTAATGGAACATGATCTTTACTCAATATCCTAATGATTTTTGGCATAAAAGAAAAATCTTAAATTTTGACCCATACAATGTATTGTTGGCTATTGCAACAAATATACCCGTGCGACTCATGACTGGTTTTGTGATCCAGGGTCACATATATCTTCAGCTGTATGTGCTGTGTGTGTAATCCAGCAGCTCTGTCTGTCTGAGGAATAAATCTGATTCAGCTGAAGAGAAACACTGACATCTGCTGCTGAGACTCAGACAATACACATGTACAAGCATCATCTAGAAGTAATCATTGGACCTTAGTTCAAGGGCTTTTAAGTTCACAGAAAAAGCCACGCACGTGTTTAGACAACTGTTTCAGTGGCTATTGATGGACCAAATGTTGACAGTCCTGTAACTGGTTTACAGAGCAGATATCTGATGATTTCAGGTCTTCTTTATTTTAAGTTTCACTGTACATCTGGTTTGCAACAGTACACATACAGCAAAGAAGAGAAGAATGACGCCTCAGGTTTAAATGAAAGAGCATATACTTTATATATTGAGAATTTATCTGTCACTATAAAGGCTCTACAAATATCAGAACTGAGCTGCTGAAAAAGTGAGACACAAGAAAAACATTTATGTGATGAATTTAATGGTTCGGGCCAGAACAGATAACATAGTAAAACTGTTCAAAATTACTTGAAATTAAAATAAAGTGAGACTAAAGTCCCTCCATCATGCATTATGTGATAATTTCTAGAATTACGAACAGGCAATTCTGGAAAACACCATCCAAGTGTGGTAATAGATCAGACCAGTTATATTTCTAAAGTCTAAGATCAAAGTCACATAAACAGTCTCAACAGTTATCACAAAAGATAAGGCACATTTGTGTACATTTTTGAAGCAAGAGTACAAAACTAAAACTAACTTTACAGTGCTGTATATGTTTAACATACATGTGTGGATTATATTGTAAATACGAAATTGTAAATTTGAGCATTTATATTCTGAAAAGTTGAATTGTAATTTAACTCAGTTTTGCTTGAGTGAGCACTACTCACATTTCCTTCAGAACATGTACAAGTCTAGTCTGATGTACTGAAATTAATCATTTTGATATTTTAGTAAGTTTTGGTGTTATGTATTAACATATTTATGGTTATGCTATATACTGTATAATTTAGGAGTTTTTAGAATTGTGGATGAAAGCTGTAAATATGAAATATCTAATCCGTTGAGCAAAGAATAGTAAAATTAGGCTGAGAGAGGGATAAAAAAAACTAAACAAGCCCTGCTGGTAAAATGAGCTAGATAAATCCCAATTGTTTTATATTAATATTTTAAATGCTATTTCTGTTAATACTGTGAACATTTATCTCAGACATTTAAAAGGTGATTTTTTCATGTAAAACACAAATCAAGCATTAGACTATCCTACACAGAGACTGAGAGATGTATAGTAAGTTATTTCTGCTGAGATCTAAGAATTGGGTGTTGTCACTTGTTTTTCATGAAAAATAAATCTGTTCTTGACATCCCTTGAGTTTTTTATTAAACAACCACACAGCAGCAGAATAATGGCACTCACTAGTTTCCCCAGTTTACACTGATCCTTCAGTATATGTGAAAGTTGCTTCACTCCTGAATCTCTAAAGTAATTCTCACTCAGGTCCAGCTCTCTCAGATGAGACGGGTTTAATCTCAGAGCTGAACTCAGATCAGCACAACCTCCATAACTGATATCACAAGATCTCAACCTGTTAGTGTCTGAGAAACAGATGAACCCTTTCAGTCAGAATTCAGTGAGAATCAGATCATCAGACAATCACACACAGACATAAAGATGTACAGTTATTACATTAACGAGTCTTTATCAACTATCAGAGTATCCAAGCAAGTCTGTCTATGTGGTTTATTTCTTCCCATTTGCTATTGAATATGTACATATTCAGTCCTGTTTATATTTATTATACTGTATTATACTTTTTTACAACATTTACTTTACATGTATGAAAATGGACACTTATGTAAAACAATCAACAAGCACATTTATTATGTATGTGTGTTCAGTGGGAATCACATTCATGACCTGAAGTGTTTAACACTGTTTATTTGAATAATCTAATACTGATGCCCATGCAGCATTTCTTAGGACATTATACAATTTAATAGTGTAATATAATGTAATAATGTAAAAAAAAAAAAATATATATATATATATATCATGCCTTTAGCTCATTTCTGTTGCATTTTTATCTTTTACATTAACAAAAATACAAACACATGCAAAAGCATATGATTTTTAAGATCTTGCATAATTTTTTTTTAAAACAAATAAGTTATGGTAGTGCAGCTTTAAAGCACAATTTAGGTATGATTTGACTATTGTAAGGTTCATTATTGGTCATCTACACCTTATAGAACACTTTATCATAAATACACTGTAAAAAGCTGGTAAAGGGAGGACTGAATCTCAGAGCTGATCTCAGAACAGCACAGCTACAGAAAATCAGACACAATCACAGAGAAAAGAGTCTGAATGTGTGTCAACATGCATGGATTTACAATGCTAGAATTAGAAACGTACCCCAATTTCTCCAGTTTATACAGAGGATCTTCCACTAGATCTGAAAGCTGCTTTATTCCTAAATCTGTAATGCCATTCTCACTCAGGTCCAGCTCTCTCAGATGAGACGGGTTTGATCTCAGAGCTGAACTCAGATCAGCACAACCTCTGTTACTGATATAACAAGATCTCAACCTGTGAGTGTGAAGAAAACACATTAAATACTGATGTCTAGAAAATGTATGGGAAAAACTACTATAACTAAAGATTATAGTACTTCCAGTCTTTACTGAAACACATATATGAAATAAAGCCAGTGACACTCACTCCAGTTTCTCCAGTTTACACTGAGGATGTTTCAGTAGATCTGAAAACTGCTTCACTCCTGAATCTGTAATGTTATTCTCACTCAGGTCCAGCTCTCTCAGAGACGGGTTTGATCTCAGAGCTGAACTCAGAACAGCACAACCTCCATCACTGATACGACAAGATCTCAACCTGTGAAACAAGGTCCAAGACACAGGGACATCCAGGAGAGAAGCAGAAGATCAAAACCAACACACAGGGAACCAGGATAACGCTCAGTATTGCAGTGACTTTAAACAAGACTTCACAATTAATGACTGGGTAAACAGGGTTTAAATAGGGAAACATAAATGAGGTGGCAGTAATCAGAACATGAGTCCAGGCAGGGGGTTATATGAAGTGTAGTTCATGATGGGAAAGCACTACAGGAGACAGTGCCCACTGGTGGTTATCCTGGGCTCTCCAGCTGGTGGGTGTAACACTTCCAGACTTTACTAAAACCAATATATCTAATAAAGCCAATACCACTCACCCCAGTTTCTCCAGTTTACACTGAGGATCTACCAGTAGATCTGAAAGCTGCTTCACTTCTGAATCTGTAATGTTATTCTCACTCAGGTCCAGCTCTCTCAGAGACCGGTTTGATCTCAGAGCTGAAATCAGATCAACCCCATAAAAATGGAAGCTGCGGATATTGATACTGATACCCCAAGATCTCAACCTGTGTTTGTGAAAGAAAACACGTTAAATACTGATATAGGAAGTAAAGTATATGGAAAAAAGGTAACACTTTACAATAAGGTTTCATTAGTTAACATTGGTTAAATAGATTAGTTAACATGAACTAATAATGAACAATACTTCTACAGCATTTATTAATCTTTGTTAATGTTAATTTCAAAATGTACTAATACATTATTAAAATCAAAAGTTGTATTTGTTAACATTAGTTAAAGCACTGTCAACTAACATGAATAAACATGAATAAACAGCTGTATTTGTATTAACTAACGTACACAAATCACAAACGTTCACATTAATTAACGAATACTGTAACAAATGTATTGCTCATTGTTAGTTCATGTTAGTTAATACCTTACCTAATTTTAACTAATGAAACCTTATTGTAAAGTGTTACCGGGAAAAACATTTAACTTAACTATAACTAAAAACTATAGTACTTCCAGTCTTTACTTTAATAAATAAAGCCAATGAGTCTCACTTCAGTTTCTCCAGTTTACACTGAGGATGTTTCAGTAGATCTGAAATCTGCTTCACTCCTGAATATGTAAAGGCATTCCCACTCAGGTCCAGCTTTCTCAGAGACGGGTTTGATCTCAGAGCTGAACTCAGAACAGTACAACCATAATCAGTGATACGACAAGATCTCAACCTGTGAGTGTGAAGAGAAGCATGTGTTAATGTCCTGTGAGATTCAAGATTCAAGAAATTATTGGGCTTTAATCTACAATAATAAGAATCAGGGATGTTGGATTAAGTTCACCTGAAACAAACTGTTTATCTACTCATCATTAAACCTCTTTTGTCTCTGTTGACATGTTGCTTTGATATAATGAACAATGTGAATAAATCTTGTACTAAATTAGGGGTCAGCAACCTTTTTTTATTAAGTGCCATTTTTGTTTTTTCTAGTTAATCACTGGACACAAATTCTTCCTGCCTTATATCACATATACACATTTATAACTATATAAATATATTGTATACAACTATTTTTAAAGGTTCAAGTGTAATAGAAAAAATCAACTAAACCTCAAATTTCTTATTTGATTAGTAAGACTGACTATTTATTATTCTGAAGCAATTTATGAAATGTAAGTTAAGTTTATTTTAAAAACAGTTTTGCAGTATGGCCGTACTGAACCCCACCACATGCATTAATGTTGTAGTTTGTGCATCTCCTGATTTGTGTGTGGAATGTGAAGTATATGTATATGTTTTGTATACCTAGTTAAAAATCTCCAACATTGATATTAGTAATTTATTTTACTTTGAGCGAAGAACAGTTTGATCTGCTGCAGCTTTCAATCACGCAGAGTGACTGAAGCGAATCAGACTTGTGTGATTCCCACTGTGAGTACAGCTCTGCAACCTTGATCTGTGTCACTTTCAGCGGCTCATGATGTGCAGCGGTCGTGGAAAGAGTTTGTCAGTGTTTCCCAATCCTGGTCCTGGTCCCCCAACACTGCACACTGTCTATGCTCCTCTAATCTGACACACCTATCTGAGGCCTTTGAGTCTTTACTGATGAGTTGATCAGGTGTGTTTGATTTATGAGACAACAAAACTGTGCTGAGGGAACTCCAGGAGCGGGATTGGGAAACACTCTCGGAACTGCTTGCTTCCGCTGACTAACAGGTCAATTCACACACTTTAATGATGATGACGATACATTATTTATATTGCGTTCTCTCGCTATTACTGATATGTCAGTGATTAACCCTCTGTGTGCTGATATTGGCATGTGTGCCACAGGTTGCCGACCCCGAGCTCTAAATACACAAATTGTTGATTCCATCTAGAACAGACAGTCTCTTAATTACTCAACTCACTCCAGTTTCTGGTTCATTTGGCTTTTATTCAAACAACTATATAAAATAAAGCCAGTGACACTCACCCCAATTTCTCCAGTTTACACTGAGGATCTGCCAGTAGATCTGAAAGAATCTTCACTCCCAATTCATTAATGTAATTCCCACTCAGGTCCAGCTCTCTCAGAGACGGGTTTGATCTCAGAACTGAACTCAGATAAGCACAACCTCTGTCACTGATATGACAAGATCTCAACCTGTTTTCAATGAATAATGTGATAAGACAATGACAAACTCACTCAGAGAGCAAAGTGTGTGTGTGCTAGACTGCCAAGATATAATAAATTACACAATATAGTATCTGTGTTCAAATTGGTAAGACCGGTATTAGTGCTAGCTGGACGCGAGCTGGTGCTATGAATATATTTTTTTTAATTTTAAATGAAACTGAAAAAATAAAGCAAATACAATGTTTCATTTAAATAATTAAAGGACTTATCCAACCAAAAATTAAGGAAACATGAGTAGTGAGGTGTCAAAAAAGTGCCTGTGTGGAAATAAACCAAAATAAACCTGATTTGGTCCTTAAACCAAATCAGCATTTAAATCATAAACAGCTGTTAAATAAGACAAACAAAGAGTAAATAAAACCATAACTTCTGTTTATTATTATTTGTTTATTATTTTTACCTGCAAACAGAAAACTGCCTGCTGGGAGCCAATCACGGAGAAGTGCAGGTAGTGACGTCTGTCATGTACGTTTTAAAATATTGTGCTGCATTTACTGCATAAATTATATTGTTCACATAATCATGATATTTTATTTAGCTTTCAAATGCAATTTGGACACTATAATTGTGACTAAACTGTCTGAGTTAACAAAAGTGTGTCAAGCATTCTGTGTTAGTTCAGGCAGGCGTCGTGGTCAAGCTCAGCTATCGCCTGTCCAGCCCAGCCCATATCAGCTGATCCGATTCCTATACACTCAATCGACAACTCTCAAACAGGGCTCCTTATTTACACGCAGCTTCAGTCAGCCTGATCGCGGTGCTCAGGAGCTAATTAAAAAAGACGATTTTGGCATCGTCTCATTAGGATTGTGCAATCGGGGATTTAGAGAGAGGAATTCGTTCCCCACATGGATTTCACCTCAGGTTAATTTTTCTTGTTATATCAAGAGTACAGTTGTACAGTTTAATTAATTGCATCTTAAAATAAATATTTACATGCTTTGTATCACTCGGTGTTGTGTTTGTTTCCTTTTTCTGTTTAGAACAGGGGTCTCAAACTCAACTTAACTGGGGGCCGCTGGAGGTAGAGTCGGGGTTAGGCTGGGCCGCATCAAGTATTCCACAAAAAAATAGTAATCAAGTATTCCAAAAAAGGAGCACAACTGATCCAATCTTCTCAATATTTATTATTAACGTTTCTTCTGAACTGTTCCTCTGAATTTGAACATTCCTTTCTGTACATGATTGGTTCTTCATGAGCTGTCCTTCTGACAGTTGAAGTTCATTTTTACAAACTTTCTTTGTCTATAACACATATTTGTGATATTTATATTTGCTTATGCCCTTTTTATTTTCTTTATACAACACATTAATGATATTGAATGTTTTTTTGTTTTTTTTTGGAAGGCACATTTCCTTTTATTATACTTAGAAAAACAATTATTGCTTTTGAAATACAAATATTTGCAGTCATGTCTGCCCGTCTTATTGAATTCTTTCTACACATGTAGGCTATAGTGTCTCAGGCAAATGACTGACTTTGCACAAATCAAAGCAAACCGTCTTATCAACCTGTTGGACACATATTACAAGCTCAAAATGATTATTCTCACATTGTTTTAGAGCAGGGTCTCTCTCCAACACGTCGCTCGCGAGCTATCGGTAGCTCGTGGCCTGATTGGTGTTAGCTCGACAAGGGGCCGTTCACATATCGCGCTCACATATTTTGCGCGCTCAAGTTCGTTATTTCAAATGTAGGCGCGCGCAAGCGCGCTCATAATTGAAGCGACGCGCTCATTTTTTCCAGGCGCAGTATGTTTGTACTTCGCGGTTGTCATTGACAACTATTGACAACAAACCCACCGTAAGCTGTCACGAAACTATCTATGGTAGCCCATAAGGGATAAAAAAAAAAAATATATATTTTTTTTTAAACGCGGCACACGCAACGACGGGCCGCACTAACATTAAACTTTAATGTCAAGTAGGGGGCCACAAAATATCACCCCGCGGGCCGCAAATGGCCCGCGGGCCGCGAGTTTGAGACCACTGGTTTAGAAGAAAACCGAGCCTTTAAATCTCCTTTGTAAAAGCTTTACGAGGCATAACTAGTCCTCACTTTAGATGAGCTCACAAAAATAGTTAACTGACAACTACTAAATGTTTTATAACTACCTGAATTAATCATGAATTACTGTAGAAATACGTGTTAATAAAGCATTTATTCACACACTGAGTTACTATTACTAAGTCTAAATAATAAGATTGTACATTTAAATCGTTTATTAATCATTTACATTTTCTAAATGTTCTTATGAACCACTAACTCCTATATAACTGGATTGTAAATTATGTAATAGTTAATTTAGAAATGATAAATGAATCATTAAAAAGTATGAAAATACAATTTTTAAACACATTATAGATATGCTTTTGAATCAAGAATAAAGTATTTATAGCTGTATTTATAAACCGCTTAATGTCTATTAATGTTATATAAATTATAAATTAACTATTTACTAATGCTTAACTAATGATTCATAGCATGCCGTTATTATAAACATATTATATGAATATTGTGTGTGTGTGTGTGTGTGATATATAGGGTGTAAAATGTGACGCCACCCGGTGGCTGTTTTCTTTTCAAACTTTGCATAGACTTCTAGAACCATGAGTCAAAAGGTGCTTTTCCACTACACAGTACCAGCTCGACTCGACTCGCCTTTGTTTGGTTTTCCACTGTGTAAAAGTTGTACCTGTACTGCTTTCGGGTACTTTTTTTCGTATCACCTCCGGCGAGGTTCTGAGCGAGCTGAGGCGATACTAAAATGTGACGTGAAAACAATGCAGACTGCTGATTGGCCAGAGAGAATCGTCACTATTCACTGCGTCATCATTGCACGCGCCAGACGGAGTATCCTGAATAACCCCGCCATTTTTAAATAGTTTTGGCCAGAGATTGCGTGAGATACCCATTATTACTATTATGGCAACTCGTAAAAATACTCCGTGGTCATACAAGGAGGTGCAGACTTTCCTTTGGTAGCGGGTGTGTGACGTGTAGAAGATCACGGCAGTTTCCTGTGGTGTCACTATGACGACCAGGTACTATTGTTGAGGTACTATCTGTAATGGAAAACGGAGCAAAAAGCAAGCCGAGTCGAGTTGAGCTGGTACTGGTAATGGAAAAGCGCCAAAACAGGCCCACCAAGTTTCATTCCGATCGGCCTCCATTAACCTGGTCTAATAGGTCCTCAAACTTTATTGGCCAATGGCAGTTTTTCGCGATACACAAATATCCTTGTAAATCATTATGGCAACTTGGACAAAGACACTGCGTGCCAATTTTCAAGACAATCGGACTAATGGTTGCATACTTATAGCGGTTTTATGGGGGGTTTTTGTATTACAACGCCGCCAAGTGGTGAATTGCCGCAATTTTTTTTTTGCTTGACCACAAAATGAGCTCTTACATAAGTATAACAAGTTTGGTGAATATATCTCATTGCGTTCAAGAGTTCTAGCCATTTTAATAAAAGGCATTTAAATAGGCCCTGCCTAATTCAAAAAGTTTTAACTAGGTGGCACTGTGCTAAAACTCGGCAGGTAGCCTCAGTTAATGGTTGTCATAACACACACCAAGTTTGGTCAGAATACACTAAAGCGTTGCTGAGATATACCTTCACGTTTATTTTGGCGTTCTCTTCATCAAATTATTTTGCGAATTATCCGAGAACGTTATGACAAATGAACTAGAATTTCATTATATCTGTGTGCCAAATTTCATAACTTTGCCACAAGCGGTTTTATGGGCTGCCATAGACTCCCAGAGCAGAAGAAGAAGAAACGGAAGAATAATAAGAATCCCAACGGATACAATATCTACGCATCTTCGGTTCTTGGCCCACAATTACAATATGGTTTCAGCATTTCATCCTTGAACCCCTAAAAATACATTGAACAGTGATAGATTGTGTTATTTTGTATGAACAAATATGCACAAAATCACTCACCCCAGTTTCTCCAGTTTACACTGAGGATCCTCCAGTAGAGCTGAAAGCTGCTTCACTCCTGATTCTTTAATGTCATTCTCACTCAGGTCCAGCTCTCTCAGATGAGACAGGTTTGATCTCAGAGCTGAACTCAGATCAGCACAACCTCCATCACTGATATCACAAGATCTCAACCTGTGAGTGCGAGAAATAAAAAATATAGTGAAGTCAGAATACAATGAAAGCTAAACCTTGTTAAAAGGTATTTTAGAGACATAAGTTCATTAAATATGAAATGGTCAATTTCAGACCTATGAAAAAACAGCCGTTTCAAACATTAGTAATAGTTTATTGTTACAGCTATCATGTTTTAAACATATTTGTTCTGAATTTTCAGATTTGAATTGTAAGGTGTTTTGACTGTAAATATATATATTAGGGCTGTCAAACGATTAAAATATTTAATCGCGATTAATCACATTAATGTCATAGTTAACTCGCGATTAATCGCAATTATTTTTATCCATTCTAAATGTCTCTTGATTTTCTTTTTGTCCCATTATTTTTTCTCATTTTAATGCTCTTATCAACATGGAAAAGTGGATCGGCTTGCTTTGTGCAAATGTTTTTTTATTGAAAACAACATTGGGATACACTGTGTTCAATTTCACACTAACATTCTCACTTGGAGCAAATAATCTCTCAATGTAACACTGTCCATCAATAAAAGAGTGAAAGAAATACTGACGAGGTCCTGATATTGACGAGGGGGCGGAGAATTCGCATCAGCTGTGTGTGTGTGTGTGTGCTTGGCCATCAAGTGGTATTTCAGACTGGACGTGCTGCGATGATGATAGCTCAGTTCACAACGACAAAATACACAGATCACTTTGGTTTGCCAATGGAACTTTTTGCAACTTTTTAAAAGTAAACTTTCCATTCAGAATCTTATTGGCATCCATTTCGGCGTCTCGCGCTCGTCATCCACTCAAAGCGTAACGTTAACCAACTATTTGGCCGGCTCGCAGACCCAAACAAGTGTGTGCGGCGTGCCTGTTTTTTTTTTTCCGGTCTAGCTAGATCCACTTGCGCTTTGGTCAACGAAGCAACAAAACGTCCTCGCGCGGCGCAAGCCATTGAAATGAATGGGTTTCATAGCGCAGCCCCACGCATGCCGCGTCCTGTTGCAAAAGCATGTGAAAAAAAAGTAAAAAGTTTGCTAGGCCAAAAAGACCGTTAATCACGCGATAAAAACATTGACGCCGTTAAAATGTGTTTGCGTTAACGCCGTTAATAACGCGTTTAACTGACAGCCCTAATATACACTCACCGGCCACTTTATTAGGTACCCCATGCTAGTAACGGGTTGGACCCCCTTTTGCCTTCAGAACTGCCTCAATTCTTCGTGGCATAGATTCAACAAGGTGCTGGAAGCATTCCTCAGGGAGTTTGGTCCATATTGACATGATGGCATCACACAGTTGCCGCAGATTTGTCGGCTGCACATCCATGATGCGAATCTCCCGTTCCACCACATCCCAAAGATGCTCTATTGGGTTGAGATCTGGTGACTGTGGAGGCCATTTTAGTACAGTGAACTCATTGTCATGTTCAAGAAACCAATTTGAAATGATTAGAGCTTTGTGACATGGTGGAAGTAACCATCAGAGGATGGGTACATGGTGGCCATAAAGGGATGGACATGGTCAGAAACAATGCTCAGGTAGGCCGTGGCATTTAAACGATGCCCAATTGGCACTAAGGGGCCTAAAGTGTGCCAGGAAAACATCCCCCACACCATTACACCACCACCACCAGCCTGCACAGTGGTAACAAGGCATGATGGTTCCATGTTCTCATTCTGTTTACGCCAAATTCTGACTCTAACATCTGAATGTCTCAACAGAAATCGAGACTCATCAGACCAGGCAACATTTTTCCAGTCTTCAACTGTTCAATTTTGGTGAGCTCTTGCAAATTGTAGCCTCTTTTTCCTATTTGTAGTGGAGATGAGTGGTACCCGGTGGAGTCTTCTGCTGTTGTAGCCCATCCGCCTCAAGGTTGTGCGTGTTGTGGCTTCACAAATGCTTTGCTGCATACCTCGGTTGTAACGAGTGGTTATTTCAGTCACTGTTGCCCTTCTATCAGCTCGAACCAGTCTGGCCATTCTCCTCTGACCTCTGGCATCAACAAGGCATTTCCGCCCACAGAACTGCCGCTCACTGGATGTTTTTTTCTTTTTCGGACCATTCTCTGTAAACCCTAGAGATGGTTGTGCGTGAAAATCCCAGTAGATTAGCAGTTTCTGAAATACTCAGACCAGCCCTTCTGGCACCAACAATCATGCCACGTTCAAAGTCACTCAAATCAACTTTCTTCCCCATACTGATGCTCGGTTTGAACTGCAGGAGATTGTCTTGACCATGTCTACATGCCTAAATGCACTGAGTTGCCGCCATGTGATTGGCTGCTTAGAAATTAAGTGTTAACGAGCAGTTGGACAGGTGTACCTAATAAAGTTTTTTATTTTTTTTTGTGGAAAGTTTCATGACATTTCCCCCCTTAAACCAGTATATCATTTCATACTAGTATCATCCCTTATACCAAATATAACTTGTATTACAGTAGCTTAGAGACCCCCACTCAAAACCACTGTCCTACCACTTTTTACTCTTTTGTTGTTTTTCACAGAAAAATATAAACAACAAAAGTATTCCTTGTGGAAAATTCATGACCAAAAACAATACCACTCACCTCAGTTTCTCCAGTTTACACTGAGGATGTTTCAGTAGAGCTGAAAGCTGTTTCACTTCTGATTCTGTGATGTTATTCTCACTCAGGTCCAGCTCTCTCAGAGACGGGTTTGATCTCAGAGCTGAACTCAGATCAGCACAACCTCCATCACTGATATCACAAGATCTCAACCTGTGAGTGCGAAGAAAACACATTAAATACAAATGTCTACAAAAGTATAAAAGACAAATTACTTTTTAACAAGAACTCAGATCAGCACAAGCTTTGACACAAATTCTACACTGATATATCCTGCATTCAGGTATTTACAAAAATGTATCCCCCCCCCCCCCCCCCCCCCCCCCCCACCCCCCCCCACCCCCAAATAGGCATGTGTCCCTATACTTATACAGTGCTGGAGATAAAGGAGTTTTGAGGAGGGACGGCGTTCCGGGGAACGGTTGCATGAATTCAGTGTTTTGTGAATGGCCGGAATACATGCAACCAGTGCCTTTCTATTGTCTCTATCCACTCATCCTTACAGAACCTTCAACTGACAAGAGTTACACCAGCTCAATCACTAGGTGCTGACTTTTCAGATGAAAATCTGAACGGATACCAAATGCATATTATAGGCTTTTCATGGCTGATAGAACTAAATAAGAGCAATGTTTAAACACTGAATTAAAAATGTTAATACTGGGCTACAGTATATAATCAATACATTTTAAACATTTAGACCAGGGTTCCTCAAACTCGGTCCTGGAGGGCCACTGTCCTGCAGAGTTTAGCTCCAACCCTGATCAAACACACCTACCTGTGAGTTTCAACAAGTGGCCCTGAAGACCTTGATTAGCTTGCTCAGGTGTGTTTGATCAGGGTTGGAGCTAAACTCTGCAGGACAGTGGCCCTCCAGGACCGAGTTTGATGAACCCTGATTTAGACAGTTAAAGGAAAGATATTTTTATGCATTTCACAGCTCATATGTATTTACTCACTCATGTTCTCCAGATGTTTTGAGCACTGGTCGAGGCTTCAGTTCTTCTGATTGGTGATTTTTAATCTCATCCCGCTTCTCTTCTGAGTTCAGCAGCACAGTCATCAGAGCTGAGAACTCATCAGGAGAGAGTCTGAGTCCAGATTTCAGCTGTCTCTTTATCTCCTGGATTAGATAACGGTCATCCAGCTCTTTCAAACAGTCCAACAGGAGACTGCTTTCCACTGCAGTTTCTGAAGAGGAATTCATGATCATAGTTTTGATGTGTTGAATTATTTCTTGACTGGATGAAGAGCTGCTGCTTCTCTGTGTCAGGAGCTCTTTTAAAGCAATCTGACTGGACTCCAGTTTCAAACCCAGTAAGAAGCAGAAGAAGAGGTCCATCTGTTTTTGTAAAGCGATGTTCATCACGTTCTGGAGTGAGTTATAGTCTGTGAAGCTCTGCTCTCCGAACTCAAGTTTCAGACTGGAGAGATCTCTGAGCTGGAGTGGGTTTCCTCCATTAATGACATCCGTCGCATACAAAGCTGCCAGAAACTCCTGTGTTCTGTGATTCATGAAACAGAAGGACTTTCTTTTTTCATCTATCACTTTTATGATTGATGAGCTTGCTTTAACACGTTCAGCACTGAGTTCATAATCTTCATCACAGAAGAGAGAGTTGGCCTTTACCAGCAGGTCAAAGGCTATTTTCCCCAGAGCGATGATGGTCTCTCTTCTCTCTGGATTCAGTTCAGTCTGAGCTAACAGGAGTTTGCTGTACATCTGAGTGAGAGTCTTGGGGAAATCTGAACCCGTCTCGTCTGTTCTGAACATTTCCTCTGGAATCGCTGCGATGATTCTGCAGTAATCTGGTGAATAACACATGCTGTTGATGCGTGGAGATTTCTGGATGTGACTGATGACCTTATTGGCCATACTCTGGTCACTAATGCTCTTTCTGAAATACTCCTCCTTCTGTTCATCATTAAAGCCCTGGATCTCTGTCACACGATCAATAAACCCTGCAGGAATCTGATTGGCTGCTGCCGGTCTGCTGGTGATCCAGATACGAGCGCTTGGAAGCAGATTTCCCATGATGAGGTTTGTCAGTAGATCACAGACTGAGGCTGGTTTGTTGGGATCTTCAATCTTCTTTGTGGTTTGGAAATCTAGAGGAACTTTAAACTCATTTAGTCCATCAAAGATCAGCATGATCCTAGACTCAGGGTTCAGATGTTCAGTGTTTTCACAGCATCGCTTCAGAAGCTCCATGAAGCTGCACTCCTTCCCCATCTCTCTGATGATGTTCAGCTTCTGGAAAGGGATTGGAAATATATATTCGATGTCATGGTTTGATTTCTCTTCAGCCCAGTCCAGGATAAACTTCTGCACAGCCACAGTTTTACCAATGCCAGCTTCACCCTTCATCAAAACTGTCCTGAGTTTGAAAATGTTGTTGCTTATGATTTCTTTATTATTATTGATGTGAGAATCTGGTTCCTCTGTGATGTGCCGCTCAATGAAGACATCATTCAGTAGTTGTCTTTGACCAGGTGATATTTCTTCATTCAGATACCGAAACTCCTCCATCAGTCTCAGTTTGAACGTCTCTGATACTACAGAGACAAATACAGTTCAGCTACTTTCACTTCACATGCTTTTGATTTATCACATTTACATCAATAACATTATCTAGTCTATATTAAGAACTTTTTTTTCCTAGAGACTAGAGAACATAAAACACTCAGGAATGATCCATGTTCAAAACTGTATTACTTTCTTCTGTGAAACATGAAGACATTTAGAAAAATGACTATAACAAATGCCATGCAATGAAAGTCAAAGTGGTTTGATACTGTTTGGTTCCCAGTGCTCTTCAAAATATCGTCTTTTGTGTTCTACAGAAGAAAGTAAGTCATACAGGTTTGGCATGGGTGAGTAAATGATGACAGAATGATCATTTTGGGGTGTACTTTCTCTCTACTGACAGTATTTGTGGCATAATGTGAAAAAACAAGACTTATACATCATAGACTGTGTGTCAACATAGTGCCATAGACCTAGACTGTGCAAAGTGATATCCAATTTATCAACTAATGTAGTGCAATCTACCAAAGTAGGAGTGAACGAACCCACTGGAATTGTGTCTGTAACATAAGTTTATTCACCTAGAATGGTAGTCTCTGTGAAAATGAATTTTTTATGAAAAAGAGGCACATACACTGAAAAGATTGATGAGGTCCTGGAGACCAACAACTCTCGGAGGTAGTAATAGGGATCGAGTGACCCTCTCCTTTGAAGTCAATGTCTGCAACACACACACATACAACTGTTGTTGTTATTCACAGACCAACACAATTCAACAAAATGTAATAAGAAAAAAGAAAAGATGGGCAGGAAAAATATATGACTCACCAGTAATCAAACTGCCCTTTCCCTAGAGGAAATATTTGATAATAATTAAAAACCAAAATAAGAAGTTACCGATTACTCATTCTCATAAAGCTTCTCATGTATTATTTCTTCATCTGATATAGGATCATCATACCTCTGTGACAACTTCAGTGACGTCACTGTATACGGTGTAGTTGAGTTTCCCCAGCGCTGCACATCTGATCTCATACTCAGCTTCTTCTCTCAGATCAGTCAGAGTAACTGTGAGTTGATCCTTCAGCACAGGTTTAGATGACCAGACTGTGCCCTGCTTCAGTTTATACAGTAATCTGAGCTCCACTGTTTCAGGACATGATGGAGGAACCGTCAGAACCACACTATTATCTTTGATCTCTTCAGTGATTGGACAGGCTGGTTTGGATGGAGGAATAAAGCAAACGGCTTCATCACATTCACTTTCATACAGCAGAATGCAGGAACCTGGATTATTCTTCATTTCCTTTGAGGACACAATGTACTTGGCTGGTTTACGGTCTTTTGAATCAATCAAGTTAAATATCTTAAATATCTTCAAGTTGTTCCTCATGGTCTTTTGGATCTCAGGAGTGAGCCAAGACTTCTGCTCTGGATCAGGGCTGTTCTCATCAGTTTTTCCTTTTGTTGAAGGACTCAGATAGGCCTTTTGTTGAAGAAGCTGCATGTCTGAGCAGTTCAGTGATGTGAATGTGTAACAGACCACATTTCCAACTGTCAGATTCATCGGAATCAGATCTATGTTGTCTTCTACCTGTGCACCAGCCATTCTCAGCTGTCTGAGCATTAGTTTAATGACATCAGACTCTCTTTCTCTCTCTTTCAGCCATTCTGCCAGGTCTCGTCCTCTGAATGGAGATTCATCATGTTCTTCCAGAAGATCATTCAGGTCAGTTTCCTTCTTCACGTCTCCACAGATGTTTGGCAGCAGAGAGCCGAGTTTCTTCATGAGTCTCAGTTTATACATGTCGCAGTTTTGCTTCATTTGCAGGATTTTATCATGAAATGCAGTAAAAGTCAAGGCAGGCAAATCTTTCAGAAGGTCATTGCATTTCATCTCAGTTGTATTTAAACACTCAATCACTGATTCAGTTTTAATGATTAGATCCATGCTGATGTCCTTATGAAGTTTGGAAGCTTTTGAGAGAAGTTTGTCCAGAGGAAAAAGCCAAACTCTCAGAGGAACCGCCAGCTCTTTCTTTCCTCCCAGTAGTTTTGGAAGATCAGTGAAAACCTTCAACGCATATTCAAAAGAGGTCGGGTTAGAAGGTAGCTGGAAGTCGCCATAAAACTTACATGTGAATTTTTGGACTGCTTCCTTTTGAGTGTAATTCATATTCAGATTGCTGTTTACGTCTACTGAAATTAATTTGAGCTTCTCCAAGGCCACTCTTGCTTCTCCTTCTACTGTCTTTATTTCCTCATCAGAGGAAACTTCTCTATCAAACACAAAGCAGGCGTCTGCTCCATACAGCACTGCTGTCACCACGTGTGTCGCTGCGTCATTATCAAGCACCTCATGATGAACTATATTTGCAGGTCTCAAGTGGTTCATGCTCAGATCTTCAACCCTGCTGGTTGAATGATAATGTAGCGTCAGTCTCTGCTGTTTGAAGGACTTCTTGGTGTCGTTGAGATATTTGGCTGCTCCTGTGACATTGACGAGTCCACCTAAAACACTCAGTTTCAGAGAGCCGTCAATTTTCAGTAAGGCTGATTTGTCTTGAATGGAGTCTGAAGCCGTGACTTTGAAATTTTTGTTAATTTGGGGACGGACTCGTAGACTCTGCTGTAGCTTTTCTTGATCCCACAGTGTGATGCCTGCAAAAGTATAAAGTGTTTAATACAGTCGAGTCAATATTTATGTCTATAAACTAGGGCTGTCAGTTAAACGCGTTATTAACGGCGTTAACGCAAACCCATTTTAACGGTGTTAATTTTTTATCGCGCGATTAACGGTCTTTTTGGGCTAGCAAACTTTGTAGTTTTTTTCACAAGCTTTTGGAACAGGACGCGGCTGCGCTATGAAACCCATTCATTTCAATGGCTTGCGCCGCGCGAGGACGTTTTGAAAGCGCAAGCGGATCTAGCTAGACCGGAAACAAAACAGGCCGCACACACTTGTTTGGGTCTGCGAGCCGGCCAAACAGTTGGTTAACGTTAAGTTTTGAGTGGATGACGAGCGCGAGACGCTGAAATGGATGCCAATAAGATTCTGAATGGAAAGTTTACTTTTAAAAAGTTGCCAAATGGTTCCATTGACAAGACCAAAGTGATCTGTGTGTTTTGTCGTTGTGAACTGAGCTATCATCATCGCAGCGCGTCCAGTCTGAAACACCACTTGATGATAGCCAAGCACACACACACACACACACACACACACACACAGCTGATGCGAAGTCTCCGCCCCCTCGTCAATATCAGGACCTCGTCAGTATTTCTTTCACCCTTTTATTGATGGACAGTGTTACATTGTGTGAGAGATTATTTTCTCCAAGTGAGAATGTTAGTGTGAAATTGAACACAGTATATGCCAATGTTGTTTTCAATTAAAAAACATTTGCACAAAGCAAGCCGATCCACTTTTCCATGTTGATAAGCATTGAAATGAGAAAAAAGAATGGGACAAAAAGAAATCAAGAGACATTTAGAATAAATAAAAATGTGCGATTAATTGCGATTAATCGCGAGTTAACTATGACATTAATGCGATTAATCACGATTAAATATTTTTATCGTTTGACAGCACTAATATAAACAAAATATTGATTAAATTATTCCACTGTAAGGCTATGTGCATCTGTTGTGTAAAAAATTAACTAAAAAAAAGAAGTTTTCTGAAGTGTGCTTATAGGGTAAATGCTTATTAGGGTCCCTTTCCCTACCAATACACTGGAGAATGCATGATCAATCTCCTCTGAAATATATGTCAACACAATTGGTCTTTGCCACTTACAGCAATTTATTAATTGTTGTGCAGAAAAACCTATGAGGAAGTGTAATTAACTGATAATCATTCATTTTGTTCACAGTATGATGCATTTATTCACTGCTGCAAATTATATAAACTACAAAACTTTTGCTCTACAATACCCAGAGCACAAAGAAACAGACGGCCGTACGCAAGTCGACTTACGCCAAAAGAGTAACACTTGATGATGCATGACGTAGATGTTACCATTTGATGGACTTCCAAAAACATACAGCCATTCACTGCAATTATAAGGCTTGGAAGAGCAAGGACATGACTTCAGGAAGTTCAGGGTGAGTAAATCATGGGCTAATTTTCATTTTTGGGTGAACTATCCTTTTAATGTTGGCAATATAGAGTGGCATGGCTCGAGCCTCCTCGTTAGCATGAGGGAATGACGTGTTCCTCAGGCGCCCTATACTGACGGTCACACTGGTAAAGGCGTCATAGGCTGTCGCCGGCCAATACAATTGTCGCTTCAGACATCAGTCACGCTGAAGCGTTCCCCATAGCGTCGTGTTATATATAGTGTCTCCTTCTCAGGGAAACTCTTTTACATTTGTAACCAATTAAGTTTTTGTACCTGGTATTAGAGCATCTTTCCTGCAGTCATACAGCATCCCCAGCTGGAAGGGTCTCCCTAGAGCCGCTGTCTCAATCACATTCACTCCCACTGTAGCCATTCTAAACACACAAACACACACCAGTTATTGATCCTGAACACCTATTTTAAGTCACTGACTTCCAGAATAAACCAGGCTTCTGCAACATTAGGCATAGAATTAAAAAATGATTTCTACATTTCAGTTGGTGAATATAGGCGGCAAACAGGATGCAGAATTCCAATTCTAGCTTGAATTTAATGATGCAGAATCACAAACTGAAATTAAAAGAATTTCATAAAACTAAAATAAATGTTAAAATTAGAAACATGACAAGACAAAGTTTGAAGAAAGGATTAATAAAGGCTTGTCTGAAAGTAAACAGAAGTATAAAAATACATCTTAAAATTTGAAAGTTTTTTAGGTCTTACAGACAGAACTGTTTGGTTGGCTGCCTCTATACCCTGTAAAAAATAATTGTTTGTGATTTTAATGGTAAAAGACTGTAAAAATGCTACAGTAAAAAAATATATTTTATATATACAGATGTAGGGTACAACGGGGCTAAAAGGGCCTTTGACTTTATTCTTCTCTGATTCACTAGATGCAAAAACACTTGCCACAGCACTTTCCTAAACATCCGCTTTTCAAGATGCACATGGACATTAGGCAGATCTGTGACGCGATCGAGAGCAGTGCAAAGCTGATTCTGTGCTAATTTCATCTAGTATATGATGTTTTTTAAAAGTTGTAGATTTAAGTAGCAAATGAGAATCTATCAAATTAATGTTTATATTTTGAGACAACGGTCTTGATGGTTTTCACTTCAGTTTTATTCAAGGTAAAGCACCAGTTTTTCAATAACAGAAGAATATGTGAAAGTATGGTATTTGGGGCAAAAGCACAATAATAAACATGATAATAAATATCTGACTGACTTTTCCAGTTGTTGACATGAGAAATATCATATATTAAGTCCTTAGAGACACCTTAGAGATAATACCCATATTTATAATGAAACAATCTGTGGCGAACAGGACGAGGACCGTGAGAGAGCGTGATTACGGATGAGCGACTCCTGCGCGACGCACCGGTCTCGTATCTCTCGCGGAGGAGCGACGACAGTGGAGATTGAGAGAGGACCAGGCCTGCACTTGTGTTGTGTTTGTTATTCGTCCGTGAAGGGCTGCTGTCTTTACTTTAATTTTGTATTTGTTTATTTTATTATTAAAGTCTTTAAATGTTCGCCGGTTCCCGCCTCCTTCTTCCCATAACATTTAACCTCGTTACACAATCATATTTAAAAATATGATATTAATAATATCATACAATTCAAATATAATGTATTGTTACTACTGTAAATAAATCTATATTAAAATTATTATGGGATCTCCTTCAATGCTTTCAGAATCTTTACTTGTTCAAATATATTGTTATTAACATATTTCAATGACAGTATATTTATTGAACAAAAGTAATTATTTTATTTATAAAAATAAATAAAAAACTGAAAATAGAACAAACTTTGCTAAAGTGATTGTTTTGAACAAAAATTAACTTTGACATCATTAAAAACACATTATTTTAGCTGAAGTATTTGTATCAATAGGCTAGTGTGTGTATTTTGACCCAGGCTGTTTTCCCCAGTGTGTCTGTGGGGTAAAAGACAAACCTCGCCACCTCATACATTTATACGATATTAAACAAAATGAACCACTATGATTTATTTTATACACACAAAATCTCTTGCTCCATCAATATTCGATACAAAAAAATTGTCTACATTTGGGAATAGTAAAAAGCACATTTGTCTTACAGTCCAGTCATTTAAGCCAAAATGGGGGTCAACCTAGAACAAATTGCTCAACTGATCTTGTATCCTCAATATGTCCTGAGTAAAGGGAAAGAAGCCCCGAAGAATCCCATAAGGGGAAAGTTTCGAAAATGACCCAAATATAGCTTATTCATACGCATATTCATTATTTTTCTCAGTGAATAGGGTAAAACTTTTAACCTTTAGATATCACCATGAAAATTACTGAGTTGATTACTTACATCAAGACAAACATAAAATGTATTACAAGTTTTTTTTAATTGTTTGTTAACATGGACAAACGGTGCATAATCCAATTACGTATGTGCTAATTTGCATAAATACCACACTAGATCTAAACATTGGTTATAGCCGGGTGAAGATGTCTTGTAGAATCTTGTTGACATCTTACAGTAAAAGACTATAGAGGCAAACAAACGTCACCATAAGGGGCAGAGATTCAGTCATTCATTAAAGGTCCACTCAACTGTCACTCAGGTAAGAAAGATTTCCTTTTGTTTCTCCTATGGATTAATTTGATTGTTTGATCCAGCCACTTTTTATTTTACCTACCTTTTGTCTTCTGCATTCTCCTTACCCGTGTCTCCTGTTCTTTCCTCAGTCCCACTGACCCAAACCCCATCTCTGCAATAATCAATAACGCCTAGTCTAAAGTATTTCTTCCTGCCTCTCTGTATTAATGCTCATGGGTAGCCTAAATGGGTTCAGCTCAGACCTTAACATTAAATATTTTACTGTAAGATGTCAACAAGATTCAACAAGACTTCACCCTGCTATAACCAATGTTTAGACTTGTTGTGGTATTTATGCAAATTATACGTAATCAGATTATGCACCGTTTGTCCATGTTAACAAACAATTTAAAAAAACTTGTAATACATTTTATGTTTGTCTTGATGCAAGTAATCAACTCAGTAATTTTCATGGTGATATCTAAAGGTTAAAAGTTTTACCCTATTCACGTGAGAAAAATAATGAATATGCGTATGAATATGCTATATTTGGGTAATTTTAGAAACTTTCCACTTATGGGATTCTTCGGGGCTTCTTTCCCTTACTCAGGACATTGAGGATACAAGATCAGTTGAGTTTGCTTCTGTTGCAATTTGTTCAACCTTTTTTGATAAAATGACTGTTAAGGTGTGCTTTATCTCCGCTGTACAGTATTCCAGTGAGGAATCTTGGAGCCAGTGTGTAATTCTCTCTGAAACTAAATCTTTCATAATGTCTGTTCGCTTACCCGTCGAGCTCTTCAGATCTCCCGCATCAGCTGATGGAGAACTAGATAGTTTACCTCGTGTTTGACGCCTATTTCTTTTTAAAGATAGTTTTATGATTTATTGGTGAAATTAGTTTACCTAAATCACAAGATTAACAAATCGCATTGCCGTCTGTAAAGCCACATCTCCAAACACTTATTATTATTACCTGAACTGTTTCCGTGATTGTTCTCTCCTCGGACTGTTTTGGTTTCCAAAGTTTGTCTTTAACACGAAACAGCAGAAACCAATCGTGCCGCACAAGCCCTGAAAAGTGAAGTCAGTCTATGGCAGAAACTGAGGGAAGTTTGACACTTTCTGCTTCCCGTAGTGACGATCGCACGGCAATTGCTTTTCCCCCCTTTTTTTACAGCAGTGCAACTGGATTATATGTGTAATATCTGTAAATGTAAAGTCTAGAATGATTAATATCGAGTGCTACGTGTTGTTAAAGAGCAGCGTGTCTGATAATTTATATTTCACAAATCTGTGTTAAAAAAAGTGTGTGAATAAATTTGACAATTTTTTTTTGTTTTTATTTTGTCCTTGGAAAAAAAATGTTAAATTATTTTCTCTTACAGTGTGGCAGGCCTATTTCACTATATCCATTTGATCATATATCGTGAAATTCTACAGTTTGTGAATTATGAACATTAAGAACATCTGTAAAGTCTCTCTACTGACTCTCGCGCTCATCGCTGAGAAAAACAACAACTTTCAGAAAACACAAAAGATGAACACTGAAGTAAATCAAGTTTTTTTTAACAAAAACACAGATTCCAGACTTTAACCCACTGTCTCCATTTATACATACAGGATTTAATGTGTCATGCAAATACAGTAGTATAATGCATATAATATGTAGGATGATATATTTCCTGATATAATGCATATTTCTGTTGTGGTTAATAAATTAATAAAGAACATGTTCTTTTTACAAATAAATAATTTCAGTTTTGAATAAAAAAATATATCAACATATCCATTTAAATGTGAAATTCAATATTCTGTGAAGTGACTACATCAGGATTGTGTTAGCTTTGCATGTTAATGTGTGTAAGCTCAATGTAAGTGTGAACAGAAAAGAGAAAGGTGTTTATGTTGATCATCTGGTACTAGAACACTTTACTGAACACCACTATTACACACATCATTGTTCATTAGTGTTTTAGGCCTGTAAGAGGACTAAACAGAGACAGTATAATGTCATATATAATGTCATGCCTGCACACATTTAACAGTCTTTTAAAACTCCAGCATAACATTACAGGACAACACACATATTGAAGCAGAAACTGATTTACTGGCCAGATTGAATGAAAGATTAACACTGAATGTCAGAATGAATGTGGGCAGAATATCTGAACATCTCCCCTGAACCAGACGAAGATATTCCCGTCGTGATGTCCGTCTCATGAATGATCAGATGTCTCTACGTGTCTGAGAGAAACAGGGAACGTGTGTGTGTGTGTGTGTGTGTGTGTGTGTGTGTGTGTGTGTGTGTGTGTGTGTGTGTGTGTGTGTGTGTGTGTGTGTGTGTGTGTGTGTGTGTGTGTGTGTGTGTGTGTGTGTGTGTGTGTGTGTGTGTGTGTGTGTGTTGCACAGAGGAGTAAGTGAACGCTGGGTCTCATGAGGTTCAGACGCGTCACACACTCGAGTGATTTACACACGGCCTCGTCCACTAGAAGAATCATTGCTATATATCCGGTGTAATGATGAAGACTGGGACTCAACACACCATTAACATGAACCTTCACATAGTTTTTGGTGCCACTCTCAGTCTTGATGTCTGTGCTGACACACACTCTCTCTCTACCACTCACACATACTCTCTCGCTCACACTGACCTGCTGGAAGTGTGTAGTGTCCTATAAGATGAGCTGGTTTAATGTTTAACTGGTGTTTGAACTGAACTTTGCAGGACTGGACTAGAGATCTCAGAGACACATGAACACGAGTGACCTCATCAGTGAAGTGTGTGTGTGTGTGTATCTGAGCAGCAGATGTCAGTGTTGATTCAAAGGCCTTTTGATTCCACATATTCATCAGCTTTTACAGCAATGAGACAAAACATTAAACTCCAGTTATGTTATAAAACAAGGTTCAGATTGCATCTAAAATAAAACCTTAATTTCTGACCCAGACTCAGATTAAGAGGAAATATGGATGTTAGTGTCTGTAAAAACAGAGTCCAGTTCTGAACAACTCCATGATTTGAGCGAAGCATTACAAAAACAGGAAGAGATCAAATGACAAGACTATGACATGAGCAATGAATAAACATGATTGAGAAAGCTAAACTGAAAACATGAACAAATCTAGAGACTGATACTTATGAAAATGGACAAAATGTAATAAAAGCTTCACTTTCCAAACAAACCCTTTGTCCTACAGACTGAGTTTGAGATCATGTGATAACAGCGACGGACACACGAACCACAGCAGAGATGAGAAACGAGAGCCAAGATGTTTATTTAAAAGCAGGTGCAAATAAATAGTGTTGAAGAGCATACAATTAAAACCGTACATTAAAGTACAGAACATTAAAAACAGTCTAAAACTAATTGGAAGATACCATTTTTCTAAAACTCACTGCATCAATAAATACGCTTAAACAAGAGGTAAAAAAAAATATATATATATAAATAATGGATAAAACCAAACAATAATTTAAAACAGCTAAAATGAGCATGCACTTCTAAAACTGAACCCCATAATATAAAACCAGTTTGAAACAGTAAAAACAGTGATGAAGAGATGGAGGAGGTGAAGGAGGCCGAGATGATCTGAAAGGGAATCAAACTCAAGTGAATCATTTGCACAGCAAAAGGTGTGTGTGTGTGTGTGTGTGTGTGAGAGAGAGAGAGAGAGAGATCAGGCCAGGGAGGAGATGACCGAGTAAATGTTGTATTCTCCTGTGTTGGCGTAGGGTTACGAATGATTTACCTTACACATCTGATGAAATGGGGGTCCAGGAGCTGCTGGAGGCGGCGAGATGCTGGTGGACATCAGATCAGTGTGTGTGTCTGTGGTTGAGGGTGTGTACCTCGGCGGGCCTCTCCTCCCTCTCCTCTTCTCCCAGGAGGACGGCCACCTGCTCTCCGGCCTGCCGCTTCGAGGAGCCGCTCATGAGGGTGAAGAAGCGCTCCACCAAACGCACTCGGTAGTGGAAGCTGAGAGACCGAGAGAAGAGACACTGACAGGTGATCATGACAGTGAGGACACAATGAGATGAGGTCCGTGTGTGTGTGTGTGTACCTCAGTGCGTTTGGGGCCTGTCCTCTCCACCAGCTCCAGCTTCTCCCCATGAGCGGCTGTGTAACACCGAGAGAGAATCCCGTCTGAGGCAGTCCTGCAGCCGTCCTCCGAGTCTCTGCTAGGACAGAGAGAAACTCTAGATTACATCATGTGACACACAGAAAATGAAGCAGAAGGGAATAAAGCGTGTGGTTAGTGAACGTCTGACTCTAGATCTGTGTTAAACTGCTGAAGCGTCTCCTATAGAAACCATACGGGTCGTGCATTAGTGCATTTCTCTGTTCCTGAACGAGTCTCTGCTGTGAACTAAACCCTCATGCTTCTCACTAGCGGTCAGTGTCAGTCATCTCTCACAGAGACTAGATTACAGTAACTGCTGACGGCTCACTAATTAATAAAATATCATCTGAAGGGGACCGTTGACATCATTATCAGCCGATCAGTATTGAATTATTATATTTCCAGACTGGAATATGAAGAATCTACTAAAACAAAAGCATAAAGCTGAACTCCAGTGTGAGCAAACGAGAGCGTTTCATCCCTAATATTAAAGGAGACTTCAGTGAAGAGTCTCGATGTGACACAGTTGGACTGTAGGCTTGACCTTTGACCTCGGCGCAGGAACCGCTCACGGGTTCATATCAGTGGCTTTCAGCTCGAGCCGCACCTAAACGCCACAGGAGGGCAGAAACACATCTGGTGTTTCACGGCCGGATCTTGGACTTCTACGGACTAGTTCTCATCTCTACTGCAGTTTCCATCTTTCTAGAGCTTCCATTTCTCCTCTTGTTCCTGTTTCTCTCGCTCACACACCGTTTCTGTGGCTTCAGTCGTTCCCTCACCTCCTCCGGCATCGGTCCTCTTCTCCTCGCCGCCCTCCAGGAACTCTCCCGACCCGTACTGTGAAGGGGGGAAAGGTAGAGGGAAAGGACGAGTGGAGAAAGTTGAGAGAAGGAAAGAAGGTGGAGGAGGATGGGTTGGGAAAGATGGAGGAGAGATGGAGGGAAGGCTTGAGGAGAGTAGAGGGGAAGAAGGTGGAGGAGGATGGGTTGGGAAAGATGGAGTAGAGATGGAGGGATGGATTGAGGAGAGTAGAGGGAAAGAAGGTGGAGGAGGATGGGTTGGGAAAGATGGAGGGAAGGCTTGAGGAGAGTAGAGGGGAAGAAGGCGGAGGAGGATGGGTTGGGAAAGATGGAGGGAAGGCTTGAGGAGAGTAGAAGGGAAGAAGGTGGAGGATGGGTAGGGAAAGATGGAGGAGAGATGGAGGGAAGGCTTGAGGAGAGTAGAGGGAAAGATGGAGGAGAGATGGAGGGAAGGCTTGAGGAGAGTAGAGGGAAAGATGGAGGAGAGATGGAGGGAAGGCTTGAGGAGAATAGAGGGAAAGAAGGTGAGGACGAGTGGTGAAAGAGGAAGGCTGATGGGGAGGGTGGAGGCCTCTGAAAACAAAAACGAGAAAACTAATGACCTATGCGATGATAGACTACACATCAACTCTGAATGATAATACACACACACACACACACACCTAATCAATACTAAGAGAGTAAAGATGCCATGCTAACACTAGCAATGCAGTGGAGAGCCTCAACACTAGTGTTACAGGCTCCAGATTCACTGCACTGATGATCCACAGGTTACAGCAGTAAACTCACAGCAGCGGTTGAGTTCAGCACTAGATGTGTGTGACCTGGGAAAGTGCGCCGGTCCAGTTTGGCCTTAATGATGGAGACCTCGAGGCCGTTCCTCTGGCCGTAGCGGAACAGCGCTGCAATTGGGTTGTCCATTTTATTTGATTTTTTTTTATCTTGGATGGTGCTGGTGGAAAACAAAAACGAGAAATTATCCAATGCTATGATACAGTCCGTACATCGACTCTGAATGACAATACAACACACATCTAGTCAATACTAAAAGACTAAAGATGCCATGCTAACACTAGCAATGCAGTCACAACACTAGTGTTACAGGTTC